GAACCCTGAAACAACCTCTGGGCTGATCTAAGTCAAGCAACAACTGACTTACAGTTTGCATAGGAATTTGATGTGGTAGATTTTATGTAAAGAGTAACCGGAGAACCCAGACAAGAAAAATAATTAAAAAAAACTCTTCTCATAAGAGATGCAGAATGCAGGAAGCCACCAAAACGAAAACTAACGGTTTGTCTTATTATTTCAGAGATATTTTCAAAATTTTTCACCGGGGTCGAGAGGTAAGATTTTTCGATTCTTATATTTTCACTTGTTTTATTCTTTGAGTTTTCACATTTGCTTGTAAGTTATGACATGTACGTATTTCCTGTCGTCTCCTAAAACAGTCTCACAATGCACTGCGATGCCAAATCGGCCCAGTCTTTTCCTCAACCTCGGAATGGTTCATAGATTGTATCGAAACAATCCTCTTTGTTTATTTCTAGGCCTACGACAAACTTTTGACCAGCGTCAGAAATGGGGCAAATATGGGACTACAGGAATGCCGGTCACAATTTCGATATAGAAAATGGAACTGTACCTTGAATATTGAAACAAACGTCAAGATAAAACTACCTAACTGGACAAACATCCCAGGTAAGAACTGACCAACTCACACGTCAATTTACTATTGTAAATTATTTTGAGATATGACGCGCGTGCGAATTGGTGGTCTACCGTGTCCATATAAGTGGTCAGAGAAACGTTCGCGCAAAATCGTTTTAAGATATATTATAAAAGCATTATTAGACGGCTGCTTGTGTCTCTGTACCTTGATGTAAACGCTCTGGGAGTTGTAGAGCACTCGAAAACCAAGTGAAGCACTCGGATACGCCTCTTGTTCCTATGGCCGAATACAAGCATTGAACTGCACATGAGCCAAACCTAATGACATAAAACAACTGAGACGGCCTTTATATTCATTTTTAGTGTTTTAGTTTAAGGACTTAAAATAAAGGAATCTAAGGAACTATGATTTTAATCTCAGATCCCTTCAATGCAAAGTTCGTTGAATTGCCAATCAAGGAACGGTAAAAAAAAGAGTTTCACAACAAGGTCCACGAAAAGCAGCGTGACAACTTGCAGCGAAGACGTTGGCCCTTGATGCATTGGAATTTATAATTAACGAAAAATCTAGAATGTAAGATATGGAACCCGGAATCCAAGATTGTTTTCTAACAGTCTAGACATTGTTTTTGCGCAACTGAATTCGCAGAGATTAAGTTCGAGTGGCAATGCACTTGGCTCCGCAAAACACTGATCCCGTTGCACCTTAAGAAGATGCGCAATATTGTGACCCAGATCACCAATATAGGGCTTGTATGCGTGGAAGACTTTAAAGGGATGGAGTGTGTGCAAGTGTTCTTGGTGAGGATAATTGGGTGGAAGAAGGGTACACTTTGACAACTTAATTCCTTTCTGTGATTATTTTTTAACTATGTTCAACGGTTTTCTTTTAGCAACTCGTGAAACAGCGTTTGCGCACAGTATCACAACTGCGGGCGTAACGTACTCTCTGACACGAGACTGTCGCATGGGCAAGTTTGAAGACTGTTCGTGCGTTCACAATAAGGACTCTGCTGCTAAAGGCAATTGGTGGGGCGGATGTAATGAGAATATCAAATTTGGTGAAGTAATGGCGAAACATTTCTTGGAGGCCATAGATAAAGGGAATGGTGCAAGAACCCTATTGATTCTACACAATAATGAAGTTGGACGAAAGGTAAGGGTGAGCTTATTTCTTGCGCATGATGGTACAATTCCTGTATACCGTGAGCTATTTAAAAAAGGATAGTAAAAAAGGATGGTAAAGGTTTTGCTGCATGTTTCATGTGTCCACTTCTCTGTGTAGGATGTTATTCCATCAAAGTACAAAGACAAAAGCGGTTGTTTTATATTGCTCTAATAAAAATGCTTCAGCGGTTTTGCGCGCCATTCTTCTGATTTTTCATAACGATAGCCAGCCAATAAGCAAGCGCTTTGTAACTCATGAACAAATGGAAAACGCACGCACGTGTGTAATTATAAAACAAGCGGCAAGATTGGCAGTTGGCAGAACACGAGAGTGGTGTAGAAGCACGACACGTAAGGTATTTTCTTCGAGAAATAAATAAATTAATTAATCAATAAAAATCAAAAAAAAAAAAAAAGAGAACGCACGCCCATTGACTGACCAATCAGAAATTTTTAATAAGTACCAAAAATATTTTGTCTTTTAAAGGCCGTACGAACCACACTAAAGAAACAGTGTCGCTGCCATGGTATGACAGGATCTTGTACAACAGTCACTTGTTGGAGAAAACTGGCCGTTTTCGAAGAGGTTGGCAACTACTTGAAGAAAAAATACACCCAAGCAAAGCGAGTTAGTATCATAAGAAACAAACTAAAACGAAAAGGATCCAACGGGTTTAAAACTATAAGCAAAAAAGACACAAATCTGTTATACACGGAGTCTTCACCGGACTATTGTCAGCGGAACATGACCTTTGGTGCTGTTGGAATGATCGGACGCGTGTGCGAGGGAACAAAGAAAAACCTCGATCAGTGTCGTAAAATATGTAGCTCTTGTGGATTGACTTCTACGAACTTTATTGAGAAAAAAAGAGTAATTTGTCATTGTAAGTTTGAATGGTGTTGCAAAGTTAAATGTGAGACCTGTAGGCGATCGGAGGTCAAGACAAAATGCACGAGAAATATATAAAACGAGAAAGGAATACAAGAATATAGAAAAAGCTCGGTTATAGAACGACCGTTAGTAATATCGATGGAAGGGTTACTATGGATGAATCATGGCGTTGTTGTAAGGCTCAGTCTAAGATAAGATATTCTATACAAATGTTACTTGGCAGTTTAGAGACAATTCCATTACAGAATAAGACAATAAGGTGTGGTGATAAGGGGAGCAAGTTGTTACTCAAGTTGTCCATATTCACTGCAAGTTTGTTCTAATGGGAAAGAATACCTCGGAGTTTGAAATGGAAAAACATCACGTCCAAAATACACATTCGTATATTGATGGAGATTGTAAGGAAGGCAATTTTATACAAACACTAGAAAAGTTTTACATTTGTTAAAAATAAATATTAGTCATTTAGGTGAGTCCGCGATTTAACAGCCAACCGAGAGCTCGGTTTCTCGTGCTAGAGTGAAGGATTTAAAATAGAAAATACTAGTGAACGTGTAATAGTAAAATGTCGCAGACCAAAAGGAACCTGGGCAGAGACAATTTAGTTAGATATATTTCGTACAAAGATGTACATTTATAAATATAATTCTAGTGTGAAAAAACCGACTTAATTCATTCTTGTACACAGACCCCCTCGGTTCCCTTCTCGAAGGAAACAACTTCTTCACGGCGGGAAAAAACCGAGGAGATCAGGGTACGAGACTGGTTTGCAATAAGATTAGTGTAAACTACAAAATTCCTTTTTTTTAACATTCTCGACTTTCACATTCCCATAATGCCTTGCGTTTTTGGGGGTAACCAGTCAAAAAATGTCCCAAATTGAAAGGTTTCTTAATTGAATTTATACTATACCTGCTTTTATCTGTACAATACTGATTATCAGTTTATTCCAAGTTATTTTTGCGCGTACAGATCATGAAGAGTTTTGGTCTTACAGAAAATGCATTGAGTTACGAAAAAATGTTTAAAATTTACCTTAAACGTCTTCAAGCTTCTATCTTTTTCTGTTTTTTACTTCTTCATTTTATCTTTGGATACCAAACAAGGTATTTTTAACATTGTTTGATCAGCCTTCAGCAAAATAAGTGGGTTTTTACCCTCTGGTTACACCCCAGACGCAAAGGATTATGGGGATGTGAAAGTCGAGAATAGTGATTTTCATAAAGCCGTGCGAAACAGATAACATTAGTTAGTGTGCAATAGTGAAATGATAACAAAAGAACACAATGGAATTAGGGTCTACTAATTTGTATTAGGCTAGTGTGTATTTCACGGGTTTATGAAAACCCCTCTAATAAAATATCTGAGCGTACGATGTAAAAAAGGCAATAATATATGTCGTTAAGTATAATATGCTATGATAAATAATGCAGCGATGCAGTCATGGTTTTGATAGTTCACTAAAACTTTAAGTTTGTCACACTTTCTAAAAATCTGTCAGAAAGTTTATTTCTAATAAACATTAACAATAATTAGTAAATCTGAAGTTTGCTCCCGTTCCCTGCTTGTCCCATTCCTTTTATCCTCATTCCCGTTCCTCTCATCCACTTTCCCCCTGCAGTACACCAAAAGATGCACGTTACACTTGCGTGACTTAATCTCAAAAATATTATTTCAAGTATAATGTTTTTAACCTATAAATTTATATCTTATTTAATGGAAAACGCGCGTGTGCGGCGAGCTTCAAGCATGCGCCTCGAACAATCGGATGGCGAGATTTACCATAGTTAATTTATAGCTCCTTATTGTTTTTTGTCAATATATTAAATAATATATTATTTTTTGAATATTTAAAACGTTGTCAGAAAGATCATAAAAACCGGGGTTTTTTTAGCGCAAGGAATTATGGTTCGATGAAGTTCGGTGAAATAAAGATAAACGTAGAAAAGGTGAATCATAGGAAGTGCTGTGAATAATGTTTGTTAAATAGCAAATAAAGGCTTTTAAAAATCTAACTTTATATATCGGACCAATCAATCAGAATTCGTGGATTGTTTTTGTGTGCTTTTGACGATGACAAGCATCAATGTCTGGAAGGACGTCTTGTAGTGTAATACAACAATCACGTCACGCAATCTAATATAATTCTGCGACAGGCTTTGTCACGCAACAGCTTACTAAGCATTACTAAAACTTTTATCTAATTTCTCCATATTTCTCTGTCTTGAAAGGATCCAATTTAATTTCGTGACAACAAATGTCACACAACAGCTGGTTTAACATGGCTGTCTTCTCCCACGGGAGCTTCTTCGTTCCTAAAAATAGGCAGAGGAGTTCGTTCTTCACGGGGAAGATCCACATGTACGAGTAGCTCGTCTTCGGGAGTGTTCCAGCTTTGTTCTTTACCAGTCCCCAAAATCGTGTAGCAAAAAGCACCAATCACATAGATAAAAGCAGATAAATAAAATACCTTTTGCCATTGACCACGAGTAGGCTAAAATATAAGAGTAAATTTCTCAATAGCGAGTAGAATACGATCTGCTCATATTCAGCACCGTTACCGTGCCGTGCGTTGCAATGCCTTCTGAGGTAATGGGTTAGATCACCCGAGACTCGCCATCATACGTGAGTAGAGTTATGTGGTTCTCTCCCGTGCTTCCACCACTTCTTATTACTACCTCCGCAAAAATAACTTTCTAAATTCTAATTTGATCACGGAACGAGGCCCACAAGTTTGCTAGCCACTGGCGATTAAGTGCTACTCTCGTTAAAACAAGGACAATATATGTTCTCATACAAATCGGCTGTATCGACCAAGGATTTAGAAGTGGCAATTCCACAGAGTGGCTCTCCATCCACTGAAATTTCAATTGGAATTTGGAAGTTGATTTTTGCGGAGGGAGGAAAACCGGAGAACCCGGAGAACCCTCGAAGCACAGGAGAGCGCCAATAAACAACTCTACTCATATTCGACACCGATCCCGGCGGGACTCGAACCCGGGTCGCATTGGTGATAGGCGAGCGCTCTCACCGCTGCGCAAGCCATGCTTCAGCCGTGGCCGATTTAGAGAGGTTTCAATGTGCTAGTTAACTCTCACCTCGTTGTTGGTGATCCACCCAGTCACATAGGGCGCAGCTATGCCAGGAATAGTTGCAAAAGCGTTGGTTATGCCCATCAAGACCCCAGCATATCTTGGCGCAATATCCAGATGATTGACATTAAAACCTGACGAAACCAGCCCTGTTATACCAAGAGCGGTGGAGAACAACGCTACCGATAGCGCCTTATCGTCACAGCCTGTGTAACTTGTGGCAACCAGTAAGAACGCGGGAGCCAAAAGTCCTTTAAGAAATGACAAGCAGGTCACGTGGGTCAAGGAAACGTCTTTCTGATATGCTTCAAAATTAAGGGTTTGAACCCAGGATCGTATGATGAGTGTTGAGTGTGATGGTCCGGGTGAGAGTAGTTTTTAGAAAGACTATTTTTGGTCAGTGGTGACTGACAAAAAGGAAGAGAGGATATTCAGGAGTAAAGTGAAGGGATTTAACCCAGGATCGTATGATAAGTGTTGAGTGTGATTGTCTGGGTGAATTTAGTCTTTAGAAAGACTACTATTGGTAGTGATTGACATCAGGTAAGAGAAAATTTGGGAATAAAATAGAAAGTTTGAACCCAAGATCGTCTGTTGGGTGTAACTGCATTGGTGAGAGTAGTCTTTAGAAAAATGGTTTTCTTTTGGTGACCTGACGTTTCCACAACCTGAATGGATATGCCAACCTCAGTTTAAGAAAGAAATGAGCATACATCGGGACTAATGTCTAGCAGTCCTAGTCAAAACTCCCATCTATTGCGCAGAAGCAACCATTCTGATAACGAATGTTCAATGTGTGCACTAAGCGAACACGGAGTTCCACATTGTGTTCTCTTGTTTTCCGACATGGGAATCCACGATTTGCGAGCGTCACACCATGGTATGTACGCTAATATACCTCAGTCAATTTAACAAAAAAAAAACTTAGCAATAAAAAACACATACACACTAAAGGCACCAGAACGATTTCAATGGAGTGACCTGTAACCTCCTACATTGTCCTCTATTCTTATTATCTTAACTCCAAAGGAGGTGACTAGACACCTGAATCCACCCTTGATGTTCAAAGCGCGATACATGAGGAGAATTATTCGTATTGCAAATATAAAAAACGCACACATACAAATAACATGTTCAATCTAATCGTTAATAAAAACAGAACCATACCTCCAATAGTAAACACCTTCCTAACTTCAGTTGTGGTACTTATTCGTTCGTTGCGCAGCCAATCAGCAAGCTGTCCGCCTAATATCATGATGGTATACTGGGCAGCATACGGCACAGCTGATAATATACCATTCTGTTGAAAAAGATTTTTAATTGCGCTTAATTTAGTGTATTCCTCAAGACTGGAAAGGAATGAAACTTGGGGAGCAACTCAAGGATGTAATGACATCAAGTATTGGTAAAGAAATGTGTCAGCCAGTCAGTTGGATGGTCAGGCAGTATAGTTAAATAGTGGATCAGTCGATTAGTAGGTCGGTCAATCAGTAAGAGAGAAACAGTGAGAGACAAAGAGAGAAAGTCAGTCAAATGGACGATAGCTCAATCAATCAATCAGTGAATCAGTAATTTAGGTAATCAATCAATAAGTCGGGCAATTGAACCACTTATCCATCCCATCAAGCAGTGATACCTCACATGCCTGTAGTACGCGCCTCATTGCTGTTTTCTTCCATCCTTCCTACAACCCTTCTTTCCCATCCCCCTATCACCCACCCCTCCATCCCTTGTCCCTCCGTCCATTCATCTCTCCCTCTCTCTCTCTTCCTCCCTACCCCTGACCTCTATYCATTCATCTTTTCCATCCCTCCATCACTCCCCCTCCACCAATTCATCTTTCGCATCCTCCCTTCCTCCCTACCCCTGACCTCTATCCATTCCTCTTTCCTACCCCTTCATCCCCTACCCCTCCACCTATTCATTTCTCCCTTCCACTTTTCCTCCCTACCCCTGGCCTTTACCCCTCGATCCCCTACCCCTCCACCTATTCATTTCTCCCTCCCTCTTTTCCTCCCTACCCCTGGTCTTTACCCCTCCATCCCCTACCCCTCCACCTACTCATTTCTCCCTCTTTCCTACTCTCCCTCCCTCAATCCAGTCTGTCAGATATTTCTATGCATACATACCTGTGTTATCTGAAAGTTTAGAACCTCTTTGAAATATGAAGGTAATGATGTTAAAAACGTGTAGAATCCCCAGTTGTTACAGACATGTGCTATAATAATGGCCCAGACAACGTGTGATGTCCAGATTTTATACCATGGTGTGAAATGTTCCTGAACCATGAAGAAAAAAAAAGACCTTTAATGAAATTTGTTCTTAATGGGCTACAGGTTTGGTAGCCACTAGGAAAGTGCTACTCTCTGTGAAAAAAAATCTGATTTCTTGGTGTGTTTTGAACCCTGGATTTTCTGCCTAACATTTTAGTTTAAAAAAAGATTAAGTTAGCACATTGAGAACAGTTTCTCACAATAGCTGGATCCTGAAATCATGATGATCACTGTGATAACTATCAGGGGTTGGGATGAGAGCAAAGCAACTTCAGAAATATAAATAAACAAATCTTTTTCCTTGAGAGTGCAGCACCCCTATGCCTACATGCGATAAGAATCATCCCATCTTGGAATAAAATTATAGCGTATGTATAAAGATCATGTTTATGCTATGTAAGGAAATGTAAAAAACTGACTCCTGACCGACTGACTGATAGTCCACTGTTACAGTTTTTCAAAGGCCATTCCAAGTGTCATATATAAAGGGTTTCAAATTCCAGGATATTTCAAATAGTTTCAGGAGTAGAATGAATCTCTGAATGCTTTATTTTCCAGATTTGACATCACATTTATTTTTATTTTTTTTTATTTTTTATTTCATTGATCAAAAAACAAATAAATTTCAAAAGAATAAATCCAACATCAAAAGCAGAAAATAAGGCATGTTGGGATTTATCAAAAGGGTCTTATCAACCCTGCTCAAAGGCATTATCTAACCTTTTGATGGATGTCTTGGGACTTTCCTATTGAACTAATGATATACTCCTTCTCTTCAAGTGATATTCTAGGATGGTCTGCAGGTTTGTCATAGACAAGTAAAGTCCACACTATAAACCAAATGATACCAACAGCACCTACAACAAACAGATGAGTACATCTGTAAATACACTAGTAAGAGGGTAATCTCTAAATCCATGAAATAAAGTCAAAATTGTTATTGAGTTAGTTTTTTATTTAGTGACTATCATTCATCTAGTCATAAATAACAGTCATAAATATCAGTCATAAATATCAGTATCTTGCAAAAGCAAGAACAAAATACACAAGAGACAGTTAATAGAATATAACCAAGTAATTAAAAGATGATTTAACGAGCTGCATTTTTTATTTTAGTTTGCATTAGGTGGTACACACTTATTCTTTTAAAAGTTGTGGGAGCCAAAGGTGATAGGCAATATACTATAGGATATAGCATTTCAGTATTCAAGAATAACTGGAAAGACTGGTGTTTCTCATTTATAACTTTACTGGTCAAGAACACAGAGGTAAGTGTTGAGATATAATAGCTGTATGGTGTTGTTGTGTTCCATGTAACCATCTAAATCAACTCAATTATTCATGTTAAGATGTAGTCCACATAATTTAAACATGTTCCAATAAGAAATAAGATATAATATAAATCAATTCAAGCTTTTTACCAAAAATGTAGAAAACGGAAGGCCAGCCTCCAAGGAAATCTGTGCCACATAAAATTCCTGAGATGGGTAAAGAAATGATGGTTCCCATCTGTGCACCTGGAAAAGTAAATAAGAGGAAATTTGAAAAATCTAAATGACGGAGATATCTAAGCAGGAGAATAAGAAAATGAATAAAAGAATGAAAAAATGGACATATTTGGACAAATAGATGGAAAGATAATGGAATGGATGGATGAATCAAATAATGAATATATGAGAGGTTAGATAAAGTTTGAGGAAAAATATATGGGTTAGGAATATTGATGGCTTGATAATGGAATAAGTTGCATAGACCAATGAAATAATGGATGGATAGAAGGATAGATGGATAGATGGATGGGTAGGTGGGTGTGTGGATAGACAGATGAAGATGTACATGTAGTCATTAATTCAATACAGAATAAATTCCTGCATAATCTCCATACATGTAAATATGTACAGTAGTACATAGATGTCAATTTCTGAAAAGCATGTTCAGGCTGTGTTTTGAAGACAACATAACGTACCTGCATAGGTCAAGGTGACAAGTTTGCTACGTTCTAAAGGAGGTGCCCAGCTGCCCCACAATGCATGCATGGCAGGAAACGTCACACCCTGGATAATCAACACATAATACTGCCTCAGTCGTATAGCCAGAACTTATCTCATCCCCGGCCATCAACATGATCCCTAACAATTATTATACTCACAATATAAAATGTCTCCCTTCATTAAGCCCCTCCACTACAGGTATATGAGGCTATATATCAACACTTCCTCATCCAATTGAAAGTCCTTCCAGAAATTTGTGAAGAATTAAATTTCTAATGTTTCCAGCTTTATCCTCCCATTATATCCCTATTTCATTTTCATTTAAATCGGTTCCTGAGGCAAAAATCAAACTATAACCCTAAAAGTCCTTCCAGAATTCTGTTAGCAATCAAGGTACCAAGGTTCTAATGCCTCCAGCTTTTCCCTTCCATTCTTTTCCCATCCATTGGCTAATAATAATATCAAAATCTTCTTAATTCACCAAGTGCTTCCAGAATTGATCGGTGAGCATGTGATCAATAAGGTACATGTACCAAGATTTTGATACCTCTAGGTGTTTTCTCCCATTCTATTCCCATTCATTCCCTAACGATAATGTCAAAATATACAATATACCTCTCCAAGTCCTTCCAGTACTCTCAGTGCAATCAAGCTACCAAGGCTGTGACGTGCAGCTATAGGTGTCAACAATGTAAATACAGAAGTACACAGAACTCCCAGACCAAACAAATGTTTGCCACCATACCTAGATGCCAACCATCCACCAGGTAATTGTGTTACTATGTAACCATAGAAAAAGGACCCAAGAATGACCCCTGGAGAATGCCAAAAACGTATTATGTTAGAGATAAATAATTTAAGAGCAAGATCAAACTTGACAGAAAAACCTGAATGATCTTATCAAATTCTTTTGAACATTCTTTCAAAAATTCAAATTTTATTATGTCATAGTGTAATGTAATAAGACAGTCCAGATCAAATTGAGGCAATCTGATTGGTTCCTTAATCCGTTACTTAATCAATAATTGGAATCTGCCTTCCAGAATACCCTTCCTGTTAGCTTATCTGTAAAGATTTTCCTTTTCGTACCAAGTTCAACCAACCTTGCGTTTCTTGATCCCAATTGAACTCTCCATCCTTTTAAGAAAGAATAATCAAAAGATTCTGGGTAAAATCAATCTCCTTTCTTACTTGATAAACAAACTCTCATGACACGTATTTAATAAAAAGTATGCCTTGGGCTCCCTTTGTCAAAGGGAAAACATTAAAAAAAAAACCTCGAACAAAGCTTACCTTAGAAGACTGGCTTGAACCACTGCTACTACCACATTCAGGGTTTTGTGAGTCGGCATTGCTATTGCTATAAGTAGAATTAACCATTGCCACAAGAGCGACGCTCAGATTCACTCTCAAAGCGTACACGACACAAAACCCTAAACAAGCGAAAAAAGCTAAAGAATAACGACAAGGAATGCTGCATTCTGAGCATGAATTACGGCTGTTTTCTCTAGGACGACCCGGGAGAAGCTCTTCTGTGCTGTCCRTCATATCAAGACTGGTATGAAATTAAAGAGCGCTTGATAAAAAGAAAGGAAACTTTAAGGTMTTCTAGTGAATTCCACCATTTTTTTCCTTGAAAGTCACGAGGGTCGAGCGTGACTTTTACCCAGTCCCTTTAAGGAGGAAGTAACTGTAACGTCTATGTCACACAATATAGTGTCACACAACCCTTTCGCATTTCCCACTTGGACATTAGCTCAAATTGTACTACTAAGAATTTCGAGCATGACCTCGAAACGTCGTGAATTACTGTCTGTATCGTTTCTTATATTATTAAAATGCTTCAGATTGACGTCTATGCGATTGCCACTATCCAATGCAATCCATTTCAATCACAACCAATCCATTTCCAGTCACATCCATGTAACATCCAATTTATCTCAGTAGCATCTTGATGAAGGAAAATTAGTCGTAGAAAAAGTAGCGATCCACAGAGTCACCTATAGACACATGATGTATACAGTCCTTTCAAAAGCCTTTGCTGCTGATCGGCTTCACGGGACTTTCATTACTGCCACAATCCAAAACATGAAAAAAAAAATTTTTTTGCAGTTTTTTTTTTTGCAAAATTTCGGAATAGAATCACTAGTTATGAATAATGAAATAAGAACTATAAGACAAAAGTTGCAAATTCGGTGTTAAAAGACGTCTACGATCCGTACGATCCAGCCAACTGAAGTTCAGTCCATTCCATCTATGTACGGTTCCGGATTTTCCAAAATGAAAAAACACTCAAAAGTCGGGCAAATAGAAGAGGAAAACAAATTTTAGAAGTTGGGTATGTTCGTGCTATACAATAAGATTATCCATGGCCTTTCAAATGGTAAAAATTCCAAAAAAAAWTTTTTTTGGGTGATTCAAGATTCAGTCGACACTGACTGCGGCCCTTTCACTTGCGATCCATTTCAGTCACAACCAATCCATTCTATTCCAGTCACTGCGCTCGTATATTCCAGCGACATTCCAGTTCTTATGGCTTTCTTCTATTTCCTTCATGCACTTTGTCACCCTCGAACAGTCTGTATATCCAATGTCTGGAGGGATGGTTCTAAATTACTCAATGAACAGAATTAAAAACAATCCAAGTATAAATAAAAAAAACTCGAGAGAGAATTTGGAAATAAGAATCGTGACTTTCAGATGTTGTTAATGCCATTATTAGTGGTACCTAATGGATGAGGGCAAAACAATTGTCATCTCACGGTACCCGGTTTAGGGGGAGGGGTGGTGTTACCCGGTACCCACCACCTCTGGAAGTGAAATCTTAGATTTTGTCCCCAAATATCTCCAAAACTAAAAGCTAAATCACAGAAATGAATGGACTGTCTGTCTGCATGTATGCTAAAAAAACATATTTGTGTATAGAAATTGCCACTACACACCCCCATGGCCAGTATCAAGCTTTTGAACAGGTCTCTGAGGGGGTGGGGGTATGTACAATAAAATTAATTAATATAATCGGGTCCCGGACGATTGTTTTAACCTCGCCCCTAAGTGAATCCCTTCGGAACGAACCTTGCGGTGTGCTCGCTAACTGAGAGTTTTGCTTTAGAATTAACATGGAAGAAATTTTCGGGACCGTCCACCTATAGCTGTTCATTAAATAAAGAGTTCAGTTTAAAAGGGATCTATCATATTTTTAATTTACCACTGAAAATAAAGGATTAGTCATCGATTAGGCTGCGCGCATCCATCGAATTTTGGCGGATTTTGGCACGCGATCGCGAGAGGCTGCTAAATACTTCTCCACAAAAATTGCAACATGTACAAAACGCAGCTGCTCGACTTATTACCTTTTCAGGAAAGCAAGGTCATAGGGTTACCTGTAGAAAAGCGTATTGTCTTTAAGATTCTACTACTCACTTTCAAGGTTTTACATAATCAGACTCCTTTCTCGTACTTTTTATTTTCCAACTTTCTTTATTTCATCATAACTTATGAACACGTTACATTCATTCATTTACATTGTACTTCCTCGTACTTATGTGACTTGTTGGTTAATTATGTTCCATCGCGTTCCTTACGATCAATGTCTCAGAATCTTTTAGTAAAGCAATCTTACAACCTGAAACAGTATGGTAGAAGAGTCTTCTCTACTGTGGCCCCTGAACTATGGAACAATCTACCACAGAAAAATAAGATCCCCGTTTCAATATCACAGTTCAAGCAAAGGGTCAAAACCTGACTTTTTCAATAAGCATTTTATTAGTAGTTTTATTCAGATATCTATGTTTTTACTTTTCAACAAACTTTAATAATTATTATCACGTATAAAAGCCAATTAAAATGTTGAAAGTTATTTTTTATGTAAAAAATGTCTATTAAATATGTATGTATTTATAAAAGTTGTTTAAAGATTTTAATGTACACCACTAATTCACAACTAAATGCCTATATAGTTATATTTCTAATATTTTTTTATCAGATCTTTTTGTAAAGCGCCGTTGAACCATGGGGATATTAGCGCTATATAAATCATAATTATATCATTATTACTAAGCACGAAGGAAGCGTAAGAGTCGCACGAGGCGTAACCGTTAGACGTCTAAAGCTAATTAGACGTCTAACGTTTTATTAATAATTTATTCAAGCTTGTAATCTATCTATAAGGTCAGGCTATACTGTGTTTATACTAGTATTATTCGAGGTTCGACTGCCATTGTAACCTTCATCTGCAGCAAGGCCTGGATTGTCCTGTTCTTGCTCAACTTCCACTGGTAGCGGGTTTTCATCATTGGCTGTGTTCCATGGCTGTTCTTCACCTTTAGCAAGAATTGCAAACCCTGTCGCACCAATAATGTTGATTATAGCTGCAATGTAGAACACCTTTTGCCATTGACGACGAGTTGGCTAGAAAACGCAATACCAATCCATTAGTAAATGGAGGCAAGGAAAGAAGAAGAAAGGGAGCAAGGAAAGAAGGAAGCAAGGAAGCAAGGAAGCAAGGAAGCAAGGAAGCAAGAAAAAGACAAAAGAATTCACGTAACTAGACAACTAGTATTACTAACACCATACCCTTTCCTCCAGCAATAGCTAACTCCTCAGTCTNGGAAGCAAGGAAGCAAGGAAGCAAGGAAGCAAGGAAGCAAGGAAGCAAGGAAGCAAGGAAGAAACAACCAAATAACATAGACAATAATAGAAAATTGGCCAAACTAAAGTCAAAGATTCTAGCTTTCCATCTCTCACCTCTCCATTAGTTAACCAACCAGTAACAAAAGGTGCAACAAACCCCGGTATCGTACCAAGACTATTGGCAAATCCTATGATTATTCCTGCATAGCGAGGTGCAATATCAAGGTGATTGACACCAAACCCCGCCGACGAGAATGCGCCAAACCCTAATGTGAGCGATAACAATACAACAATCAAGACCTTGTCATCGCTTCCAACGTAGCTGACAGATATCAGGAGACAAGCAGGAACTATGAGAGCTGTAAAGAAGTATATAAAAATGACATACTTTTAACACAAAATCTTAAAGGTTTGTACATATATATACATATATATATACAGTGATATGCAGAAATAACGTTTTCAACGATATCTAAAGAAAAATTATGGGGTAAGCATCATCAAACACGCTGACTTTGAACCGACACCAAAGGCTTTGCAACCAAAGCAACGAGAACTTAAACTCAAATTAAAAAAGAAAAAGGAAGTAAACCTAATAAATATTTCGCACGAGGACTCACTTGTTCGTTTGATTCTTCACAATTCGTGAATAAATACCGTACGCGCTCACTAACCATGAAGTAATCTGTAATATATACAGTATGAGTGGCCGTGTTGTATCAGATATACAAACTCGGACACAACACGGACACGAATACTGTATATGACTTATCAAACGTCTAGGTTAGTTCCTTTGTGTTTCACTAAAATTTTCAAGATTAAAGTGAATCTGAAAGCTTTACTTGTTTGAAATGAATTTTTTTCCATGATCCTCAGTGATCTCAGCTTTCTAGGTTTTTGGTGACTAACTTTATTTAAAATAAGTATATATATATAATTTTACTTAGAGGCTTTCATCACGCTTGAGTTGTAAAAACAAAGGAGAAACAAAAAAATTGAAATACCCTTTTCAGTCATAGATTGAAATAATGTGCTATCTACGCAGCACACTAAGCAACGCAGGCTAAATTTTCCTGCTATTTGGCGCAGCAAGCGATCATACAAGCAGCATTTACAAGCGCATTTTTAGATTTTCCTGAATGGTTAGCGTTAGCGTTAGAGAAAATGGTCTTGGATGACTTTTGAGTGCGACGTCATTCGTAAAGCGAAACGTCAGGGTTCGAAAGGGAAAGCATTTCTGTAAACAATATTTATATAACTATCCTTGTGTAGTAATTGTTGCTGGTGATGTATACTTTTTTGATCGTTTTGATTGGCTTTCTTGACGATCATTTTAACAAAATCTGTACAAGGAAACGAGCACCACAATAGAAAACCAATATTGTCATTTCCAAAAGTGAAAACATATTAAGTTGAAGCAATTTAAAAGTGGATACTTACAACAAGTTGTAGATGCTTTTCGTACATCTACTTTCCTGCTTCCAGTGGACAATAACCAGTCACCTAAAGTAGCAGCCACAAGTTGAAGTACTACACTTGTTATATATGGTATCGACGATATGAAACCATCCTTTAGAAGGAAGAAGAATGAAAGAAAATGTTAAAAAGAGCACATAGAAAGACTGGAATATGAACTCTGAAACAACCTCTGGGCTGGTCTACATCAGGGGCGGCTAACTCACAAACCGCATTAGAACGGCATTGATTCAAATATGTACTGAGATCCTACTTCATTGTACAAAAGTAACAGCACACAACCAACAAGACATGACTACATGAAAACCAGCGCCCTGATAAAAACTCTCTGGTTCTTTAACGTCACACAACACTCGCCACAGCTAGTAACGTAACAGTAACCCAATTTGACGGCATAAAAGTTTTATTGTACAGTAAATAGCGCCCCACATTAAAGCAATTTTCGTACGACTGTGCCGTATGCGAGCCTTGCCACGACCGTGATGTTTTCTAGGATTTTAATCTGGGAATTTTTTCTCGCGCAATGTGATTGGTCTGGCAGAGCCGTGATCTTGGTGTGGCCGCGTCCACGCCGTGTTCTTCCCGTGTTTCGGGTATTTTATTGGATGGAGAGTAAATTCTCGGGTTGTGGTATGTCGCGTATGCCTTGGCGTGTCACGACCGTGTTTGTGCTGTGAGCTCTTCACAGTCATACGAAAACTGCTCTACAAGTCAAACCCCGTAGCGTTAGAGCTGGTACCGTGGTTTTCCACCCACGTGCACTATATTTATAACGCAATGCCGGTGACTTCCACACTCAAAATCCAATTCAATTACCACCAGGTGTAATGACAATGATCTTATACTTACTTCCAAAATTTTGACATGAAGAGCGTCTCTAAAGTAGGTGGGTAGGCCGGTCAGTAAAACATAAAATGCCCAGTTAGCGCAGACGTAACCCATCACCACGGCGTAGACTGCAGGAGATGTAAAAATAGCTAACCATGGGACGGAATGATTCTGAGGAGGAATAACGATTTGTATAGAAATTATTGATTAGAGTCAGAACTTTTGTGTGTCGTATTTCCGGTTCCCACTGGCTACAAAAACCGCTCAGTCAAACAAAACGATAATAGTTCTCCATAATTTAAGACTACCTGAAACAATGAAAATTTGTCATGAAGAAAGATTATGAAAAATCTTTATCAAACTACTTTTGTTTTGGACCCGAAAGTCGTTGTTCAATTCAATTGACGTATACATAACAGCTCTATGACAAAAAGGCCCTGAAGTAATCGGGAGGCGGTTATCCGTTAATTTGGCAGATATATATCATGCCCTTAATCATTACAAGCACCTTTAGAGTCTTATCTTGTGACGTCCCGATAGATGACAAGATGTACTCTTTCTCTTCCTCTGATATTCTGGGGTGACTGGCAGGTTTGTCGTAGACCAAGAATAGCCATGCAATATACCATAAAATACCCAACGCACCTTAAAAACATAATTGTTTATCGCAATAAGCACATCTAAAACCCTGAAATAGGCACTCATTGAGAAACCCTCTCTTATATAATGAGAAGGCACATGAGAAAGAAACATGACGCAGCTGTGCAATAACAAAGGCGCGCGCAACGTTTCGAAGGTGGTTGAGTGTGTGCGCAATATTGCGCTTACTTTATGCTTGCCTAGCCTACGAGTGCGCACACATGTTATCAAGGACAACAAGAGAGGGAAAAAGGTCACAGGGTAGTAGCCACCAGTACGGTTGGTCCGCCCAACTTTTTAACTTCAGAACCATTTTTCCCCTTCGTAAAAAAAAAACATTACACAAGTAAAGAAAGGGCCACCTTTTTTAAAAACCGGACCAGTGTCCAAACAGTGTCTACGACCTTGGGTAATACAACGTAATCACATGCAACGATCATGAAACGTAATGGAACTTTAAATGAAATACCCAAAATACCTAAAACTCGCTCGTCACGCCAGAAAGCGAATAAGGCTCGTCGTCACACAGTATTCGTAATGGCCACACTGAACATGGTCACTTTCAATCCCTCGAAATAGTATCATTTTTTACCTTTTGCAGTTTTGAATTAACAAATGAAACAATGCTTTATGTGCAATGTTTGCAGGTTACAGTAAATGCTGTCGAGCTGTCTGTAACCCTTATCACAGGGACCTCCTCAATACTCTTGTCCTCTTGTTCTTACCCTCTACTTGTTTCTTTTTAAATAAGTACTAATCGTAAAGTTAATAAATGAAATAAATAAACAGTTTTTCCGTGCCTCGTTTATTAATGTAGCACACAGGAACGTTAATAAGGCACAGTTTTTTACCAATCAGAACGCGCGTACTACCTAAGATTTATACAATAATATGGCATAGCAACTGATAACATTACCAAATATATAAAAGACAGAAGGCCATCCCGCAAGAAAATATGTGTCACAAAGCCAGCCTGCTATTGGCTGTGTTATGATGTTTCCTATTCCGCATCCTGAAACAGAACAGGGGTACGTCAAAAAACCTTGATTATTCTTGTAACTAGCCTATGGTTGAACTAGTATAACAGAAAGGAAGAACTGATTACCAGCAAAGGAAATGGCTGTAAGTCTACTTCTTTCTAGAGGAGGGGCCCAACTGCTCCACATTTCTATTGTGGCTGGAAATGTCACTCCCTGATGAAAAAAAACGACAGTATTTTCTTTAGCATCACTGTACTCTGTACAAGAAGAACTGCACAGGATCAGAGTGTTTATTCACTCAAGCACCACCTGCATTATAGCCTGAATGCATTCAAACACAACCTCTTAGTTAGGTTCTGCACACAAAGCTAACCAAGGAATGGGTGGATTCGGGTGGGGGGTGGGGGAGGTCCAAGGGGTTATGCCCCACTTTTAGTTCAGGATCCAGGATTGGTATGCAGTTTTTTTTCTTTTTCCTTTTTGTTCCAAAATATCCCCAGAAACTAAAGCAACATTATTTTGGGGGAGGGGAGGAAGAAATTTTTTAGGGCAAACAATCAGTGACCCCCCCACCCCCCCCCCCCTAAGTATTTCCTGGATACTCTTTAGCACTATGGCAAACAGTGCAGTGCACAGAGTTGAAAGCAAAATTCAATAGAACATTTTGAATTACTCAAAAACCACAGTGACTGTGTCCTTTGACTCTCATTCCCTAACGATAATGTCAAAATATACCATATACCTCTCCAATTCCTTCCAGTACTCTCAGTGCAATCAAGCTACCAAGGCTGTGATGTGCAGCTATAGGTGTCAACAGTGTAAATACAGAAGTACACAGGACTCCCAGACCAAACAAATGCTTGCCACCATATCTTGATGCCAACCATCCACCAGGTAATTGTGTTACTATGTAACCATAGAAAAATGATCCAAGAATTATACCTAAATACAATGGAAATTAAAAATACTAATTTTACAGTACAACATGCAAAAGTGTTAACACATTTAATGTAACAAATTGTCAGCTTCTTTTATTAGTAATAAAAATAACAGTCGAGGCATGCAGGCTACAAGACATAAGTTATCCTTGCTAACCATGTATTCAAAGAACATAGTGTGGTATAATTTATTACTGACTAATTCTTACTGAGTTGACTTACCCTGTGTTTTTTCATCCCAGTTGAACTCTTCATGCTAAAAATCATATTTAAATTACAGTTTTAACATAAATAATTCATGTATCACAAATTAACATAAGATTAAAAATATCTCCCATTTTTTTTTAATGAACTTGATTCCTAAGACAGATAGACAGATGGACACCAGAAAGAGTACAGGGATGAACAGAAATTTTTGTCTGATAATAACGTTATAATAATAATAATAATAATAATAATAATAATAATAATAATAATAAATTTTTTTTAATAATCTTAGGATACTGTTACAGATTTATAGAATATAGAGGGGTTTTTTTTGTTGCTAGAAATTCATCGTAACTGATTGTATATATATATATTTTCCGAACCATTTTAAAGACATGATTTTATAGGGACATCTATTTAAATTTATTGTAGTTAGTTTCCTTTTAAACTGTATAGGTTATGTACGCTGTGCGCCCTATACAAGTCATAGATTTTTTGCATCTATACGTTTTATTACTGTACATAATAATGACGATAACGATAACGATAATGACAATGATAATAATAATAATAGCATTTATTTACACACAATAACTAAATTAACAGCGGATTTGACGGATGTGGTAATGTGATGAGACTCTTGTGCCAGACATGAGTCGTTCGTTTGAGACAATATAGTAGTTTTTGAAATATATTTGTCATGTCAATACTGACCTTACGAGCTGTTCTTGTCACCGTTTTGTTACACCCACCTTCTCCTTGACATTCAGGGTTATGAAAATCGGTATTAATACTGTTATCAGTAGAATTAACCATCGCCACAAGAGCAACACTTAGATTCACTCTCATACCATACACAGTACAAAACCCTAAAGAAATCATAATAGCTAAAGAATAACGACAAGGAATGCTGCATTTTGAACCGGAATTACGACTATTTTCTAGAGAGGGACGAGGAAGGAGTGGAGAAATTTCGTTTTTCTCCATAATTAAAGCTATTCTAAAAAATAATCCAGTAAAAACGAAAGAAAAATTCGACAATTAATGAAGTTCGATTCAGAAACTGAATCGAAAATTCTAATATTTGTCATGTGATGCCCTATTGTTTTAACGGAAACTGAACTCGATTACCGGAAGTAAGTTTGTTTCACACACGAAAACTTATCTTTTCTATTTTTCTTTTCCAAATTATTAAAACGTATCTCTTGTATAATCTTTAACAATTGAATTAAACCTATATCAGATAATCTATATTATGTTTTGCCTACGTTCAATCCGTGTTCACTTTGCTTGTTTACTTCCGGTGATACGATTTTCTTAATATCCATTTCCGGTAAAAACACCAGCGATCACATGACTGCATATATAGTCGGCTTTTGAAATATTTTGATTGCGTTGTAAACACGGTACTCAATGCAGGGTACTTTGAAAATTCTGTATATACTTAATTCATGGATGAAAGTTCGCCTCTAATTCCTCGTTTTTCTAGAGAAAATCGTAGATCAAGTTCAAAATGCAGTCTCTCTTGTCGTTATGCATTGACGATCCTCTCCATGTTGGGGTTTTGCGTTATGTACACGATACGTGTGAACCTCAGCATTGCTCTGGTCGAGATGGCTAATTCTACTGATACAAATAATGATGATGGTTTACAGAGCTCTAATTGTGATGAAGAAGGTTGGTGTAATACGACATGGACGAGATCAGCTTCTAAGGTAAGTGAAGTAACTAGATTTTGGGAAAGAAAATCTATATGAAACCACAAGTCGGCCGATTTGAATGGATCGAAAGCTGTATCAGGCTTTTTATTTAATACCTTCTTTATTTGAAAGTATTTTTCAGTTTTGGAGGTCGAAGAACCTTTCTATATATATACTTTGGGGTTTATTAATACTGTTCACTGGCAGTTGTTAATTTCATTAACGGATGTCAATCACCAGAAACGTTCCCTAACAAGAGTTTTCGTGACAAGAGTACTACCCAGGGCCCTGAGGCCGAGGAGGGGAGATTTAATTTCTTCTATAGGAGGAGGGCGGGGATGCTCATTGAAAATTTTGAATAGTACCGCTAAAAGGTACTGACTGGTCCAGGTGGGCTAGGCAAGAAATGGTTTTCACCAGCGTAAATATTATATATTATATTATATTTATTATGTTATGTATGCAAGCTGAAGAAGTGCCAATGAAAAATTCCCCCTCTAAACTTGCCCCCAATTCCCCC